CGCCCAGGTGCCCTATAAATTACATCTTTGCAACTATTTAAACTTATTTTGAAATTTTTTGGGTGTCAACTTGAAAATATGTCAAAGAGGACATGGTTTTCCCAAATATTTTTAGGGTGTCTAAGAGAAAAATGCCTTGAAGAGTACTGCTTTACTTCACGGGCCCAATGACTGCTGGTGTGCCTAGTCTTCAGTGTATCCTTACTAATTTTAAATCTATATTAGAAAAGCTTTTTACATTAAAATTTTTAATTCTTTTCAATATAGATTTAAACTGTTCTCTTCAAACCAAGAGAAATATCCACATCACACATTTCCTACAATGAATTCTAGCTTTCCATGCTTTATTCTCTTTTATGCAAATATTCATATTTAAAATTGTAAGACTGTAAATTCACAGAAAATAGGTATCTCCATCAAAGCACATACACCCTTTCAAGCTCTGTCTATATGATGATTCATAGCAAGCATATGCTTGTTCGTCAATATGCTCTGCTAGCTTCTGGTTTCTGCAGCCTCAACTAGTTCTGCAGGCACCAGTGTCCTGTTGTTCCGCCATGAAAAGCCTTTTCCTGCGCTCTCAGGCAGACTGGATCACTTCCTCTGAGGTGCTTCCAAAGTACATGGAACCCCCATCCATTGTGCTCAGGTCCAGAGCAGTGAACATATATATAGCTGGTCAAAATCACTTCAGCTGTGAGTTCAAAGCCAACTGGAACCGTAAACTGGAGGTAAGAGCCCGAGAGGCAAAGACCACAATCCTGGACATGACACAACAAAGAGTGGCCACTGACGTAGGCTCAGGAGATCCTGGAATTGTCACATCGGACAACTTTTCCCATTGTGCTCATATCTAGACAGGAGTTGGAGCTCTCGGAGAGAAGGGGAATAAAGTAAAAGGAATAGGAGCAGAACAAAGTAAAGGGTCAGTCATTTTTCTATGCAAGGCAATCGTACAGATGCTGGAGGAGCCATTAGCCTACTTCATCTTGTAAAGTTGTGTTTATTTACTCAGAGCTGGCAGCTTTGAACCCTTGCCGAAGTCTGGTTTAGAAACGCAAACCCATAGAGAAACTTTCCATCTTGTTACACATCCCATCATAAGACTGACATTTTCTGTTCTGTTTGTTATGGGCTGGTGGGTGACTTTAATTTGGTTTTCCCTCCAGTCCCCAAGTCCCAATCTTTGCCAAATCAAGAAGCAGGCAGGGAGGGGAAAAGAGGGAAAAATACATATGCATTTGCATTCACCAAGTGATCTCAGAAGTAACTTAATACTGGTTCAGGTTGTCCATGTCTTACAAATCAGTTTCATTCTGTGGATTGTTTATATACCACTTCTAGTATGTCTCTAATAAATTAAAATCTTGCTGAAATGGTAAAATATGCTGAAGATATAGTGAATGGTCTACAAGCTACACAGAGGGGCCATTATTCTAAGAGGAAATAGGAAAAGCAATCATAAAATTTTGAAAAATTATGCAATAACTTTGTACTTATTGCCCATTTGTATTCATTACAATGACCTACTTCATAGACATATAAATAGAATGGGAAAGTAACAGATCTACAGTGTACTCTAGACATGGCTTTCAACTTCAGTCAATGAAATTCAATTAGTCTTTAATAAAGAAAACTCCCCAAACGCCAAGCATTTGTCTGCATATTTCTCCATGCAGTCCTGAAGTTACTCACTTAACTTCCTTTCAGTTCTTTCCCTTTCTCTTCTCAGAAAGTCTCTTTTGTGGAGACACGGGAAGGCACATTTGCTCGGGTTTGCCGGGCGGTGTGGGCACATCAGTGGCATCGTTCTCCATGGGCATTGAGCTCTCTCTACCACATCTTCCATAAGCAATTAGTTGCACTCCAGCAGGACAAGATCATGCTGAAAGTTCTCGAAAGGGAAGGACCACACAGATAAGACCGTGATTGCCAGGGACTCGGAACAGGTTTTACAACAGGCAGGCCGATCAAAGGGGCTTAACCAAGATGGTTTTTAATCATGTTTGGGCACTGGAGAGTTCTCAGGTTCAAAGTAATGGTTCTGTGTTTTGTTTAGTTTTGGCAAACCTCTCTTTTCTTCAATAACCTCGGAAAAACAAAGCCAACAGAGTGAGGCCATGCTCGATTTTGTTTCCCCGTTCAAGCAAAATATACCACCTTGAGGAGGTCTTTTTCTTATAATCAGTTCTGTATATTTTTAAGACTATTTTGAATAGGACGTGCTCATTTGAACATTTACCCTTTTGAAACTAAACCACTTTTAAACTGTGCTGGGAACCATACAAATTAACTGTTGTGGAAAAAAAAATGTTCTAGTTGTGTCTTTTATTGTTTTGCAAAGCTCAATGTCAAAAGATTCAGCATCACCGTTTTTTGGTTTTGTTTTTGTTTTTTTTAATCCCCAATACAAAAGAAGTAGCTATAATGGGAAGCAATAATGTGGCCCAGAACAAGATGAGAAATTGACCACCTTTGTAATCCAGGGGCCAAATGAAGGAAGATCTTAGGCTAACTCAGGCTCACTGAATACACAACTGCTTTCTTACCTTCTCCTTCTTGCTTCTTTTTCTCTCTCTTCTTCTTTTCCTCATTCTCCATTTCCTCCTCCCATTCCTCCCGCTCCTTTCTCCCCCTGTTTGCCAGTCAGCAAACCTGTGCAAACTTAAGAAACTCTGCCTAATTCCCTGGTAGAGTGGGCAGAGGGTGACTTCGTGGAGGAAAGAGCTTCCTTTTGTTTACTTACAAAAGTACTGATCTTTGAGAACAATATCCCATTGTGCACTTCTAAAGATTTTGTCAAATCTTTAAAAAGGAAGGAGGAACAAATCTCTAATTTTCAAATACCTCTTTTTATTTTTTTTGTAGAAAAATAAAAAATGAATATGCAGAAATAGTAAAAATATGTTAGGCAGCTGGAGTTGCAAGAACATTATGTAGCACATCACTTAATCACAGAAACCACAATGCAGGGGAAAAAACCCTAACCCAAATGTGCTGTTTAATAATCACCGAGGGTCAGAAGGAACCCACAAGCATCCCAGAATCTGTGTCCTTAGCTTACCTCCAATTTGGAAGGGGGTGGGGAGATAATGGAGAAGGAAGCCCATTATGTGTTCCTAATTGCTGTTTACAGGTCCCTGCACAGCTTTTAGTCATGAAGCCAATTAAGAAAGGAGCTGGAGTCTGGACCCCTTTCCTAGTTTGGTAGATCTGTAGTAGGTCCCTGAATGGTTGGTTTTTGTTTAGTTTTGTTTTGCTTCACTTTACCCAGAACTCTGAGAGTTAGTCTTGGAAAGAGGTAAATACTGAGGGAACATTTGAATGAGGGGGGAAAAAGAGGAAAGTTTCAAAATATGTGTTTGTAGAACTCATCTTGGAGATTCTGTGGTGGACCGGGAATGGGGCAGGGTGAGCATGAGGCTTGCCGGAGGTGAATGAGCTGCAAGGCAGCGGGTGCCTAAAGCCAGAATATTAATTTCATCCAGCCCCAGAGAAACCTTTTAAAAAGAATCAGGGGGAAGCATCCCCAAACAGGAAGACTTAGAGGACATTTGAAAATCAGAGATGGGGGAGCAGTCCAATCTGGCAGATGGAAACCCAGGAGCAGAAGTTGGCAGGGCGTGGATGGGCGTAGGGATGAGAAGTCTGGGGGGCAAAGAGATGCTCACAGGGAGATGTTTATTGCCTTCTTGCCATTGTAAATGTTCAATGCTCTCAAGCCAAATTTCAGAATTTCTAGGGTTTATCATGTAAAAGTAGACTTGCGGCAAACATGATGACATTCTCGTATATTCATTCACCAAAATGTCTGCCTCCTTTGAGATCATTTTAACTGGGATAGGTCAGTAGTGGGCCCTGTTCTGCTCCTATAAGGATCCTGCAGAGTAACTCTGATGACCTCATTCAAACTAATAAGCATCATATTCTTCCTCTCTCTCTTTTTTTTTTAAAGATTTTATTTATTTATTTGAGAGAGAGAGAATGAGAGAGAGCACATGAGAGGGGGGAGGGTCAGAGGGAGAAGCAGACTCCCTGCTGAGCAGGGAGCCCGATGTGGGACTCAATCCAGGGACTCCAGGATCATGACCTGAGCCGAAGGCAGTCACTTAACCAACTAAGCCACCCAGGCGCCCATATTCTTCCTCTCTTAAATCCACATCACTCACCTCTTAAACATCACGGAAAGAGAATGCGACATTTTAGAAGGTGTTGTGCTGACCCACAAACCGGGGCTCCATCTAACTGAAAAGGAAAGCTTGTCATTAGGAAAGCTATAGTCATTAAATGAAAATGTTCTCTCTCCAGTGTCCTCTGTAAGTTACTTAACCCAGACAGGCTGGCATCGTGAAATAATTTAAATGCATTCAGTATTAGTAAAATACAGATTGCATTGTAGGGATTCTTCCCCTCTTTAAGTTTTTGTCCATGAATTGCTTGAGGGCAAAGGCATCGTCTTACTCTTCTTGGAGGAAGATAATTGTACTGCCTGCGGAAAAGACAGTATCTACGACAGTGCTTTAGAACATAATAGGTTCTCATTAATTGCTTACTGGACGGATGGAAATTACTTGGCTCCTGGAACTGAGTTTCAGGATACAAAATTCTATCAGTGGAAAACTTCAGAGTAGAAATGTTTTATTAGGCCTGAGTAATTGTTTTTCTTTCTTTGAGGAGTACTATCAGGTACCCCAATCCCTGCCTCTGAATTTCCAGAATTCTTTGGTACAAAGCTGTTATCATTATTTGGGTACTCGATCAACGCCTCATAATAGCAATTAAAGATTCGTGGTTCTCTCTCCCTCTCTCTCTTTCTTTTTTTTACCTGCCTTTGGTTTTTCTCCACATCCTAGTGACTTGACACAACGGCCTGAGAGAAAGAACCTATTCCAAACCTGGCCAGGGAGTGGGAATGCTGGCTTGCTGCATCTCAAGTCAGGTCTCAGAACTGAGTAGGGACAAAAGCCTCACTCCATGATGGAGGGCACATCTTCCACATCTAAAAATATGAATACTGCACGAATTGGCATGTCATCCTTACACAGAGGTCATGCTAATCTTCTCTGTATCATTTCAACTTTAGTATATGTGCTGCCGAAGTGAGCATCATAGTTCTCTTTTATATATGTGTTTAATCAGACAGGTCCTCAGGCTTTTCTCCTGACAGCCTTTGGAACAAGCCAAATCAAAAGCAAGTGTGTAATACTGTAACAGAAGTTTCTATATCATACTAAATCTTTATGTACCTTTATATTGCAATTATTTCTCTTTGCTATATTTTTGTGATAGATTTCAATTTTATATAGTCAAATACATTGCTCTTCATTGTGTGGTTTATGTCTTTGGTGCTCTGTTTAGGAAGGTTTAAATGCCATAAATTTATATACATATTAAATGATGGTTATTTTATTGTTTTTATTATTTCACATTTTACATTCAATTTATTTGGAACTGAATTTGATGGGAAAATACAATTTTATATCTGTTTTCCCCAAACAGCCAATTGTCCTGAAACTATGTATTAAAGAATTCAATCTTTATCATTTACTAACCTCTTATCTGTATTTGAGTCTACTTCTGACCTACTTTATATTTCACTATAATAAGATTCTTAAGAGTGGGAACATTGTCTTATAATTTCTTTGTACTTCTAGAAACTGCAGCAGTGCTTAGTTCTCAATAATTATTGAATCAATGGATCAATTCTCCAATTCACTTAATTGATCCATCAGACTTGCTAATTTTACTGTATAAATATTTCTGGAATCATTCCTCATCCTTTTTTTACCCACACTGCCTGCCCTACTTCAGGCCCTAATAATTACAGAGTTTTTCCAATGCATCTTACACACAAACAGAATAAAGTTCTAAAATGCAAATCTGATCAAATAACCTCCCTGATTAAAATCTGTGAATTTCATTTCATGTTCCATACCTTTGAGGGTCACCAAGGCCCTGAGCTCAACCAAGTGAAACTACTTTTAGTTTTCCAAACATGCCTGGTTGGTTTTTATTTTGTTTTGTTTTAAATCTTTGCCTTTGTAAAAGTTGTACAGCTTGGTAAGTGCTGTGATAGAGGTTTTGACAAAGTGGATTAGGATAAGGAGAGGGGATTCTTGAGAATAGAAAGGTAAGTGAGTTTTGACCAGGATGAACAAAGGTACAGAGGTGTGGAAGAGCGTCCACGCTGTCCCAGGACCAAAGTCGTTGAGAATGACTGGGGGGTGGCTGAAGGTGAAGACACAATGGGGGCCAGATCATGAATGCTCTTGCATGTCATAACCATGGACTTTGAGTTTTTCCTACAGGAATGTGGAGTCAAATTTAAATGGGGAAGTAGCTTGATTACAATTTATTTTTTTAGGGGGGAGGTAAAGTTGATAGCAGCCTGAAAGATGGATTGACAGAGAATGAGTCTAAAAGTCAGAAACCAGGTTAATAATAGATTCTTCAATAATACAGGTGACATAGGATAAGGCCAATAGTTTTGAGAATGAGAAGAAGGGGCGCATATGATGTTAATGTAGAAAATTCTGTAAGATTTTGTGACTGCTTAGGCAGGAGGGTGAATAAAAGAAATAACTAGTGAGTGACCCCCTCACACCCCAAATCTTGCACCTACTGCCATTTCTGTCTTGGACTAATTGGGTAGATGGTGATGTTCTTTACCAAGATGGGAAATTCAGGAAGAAGACTTGTTTAGAGGATTGTGGGCAGTGGGGAAGAAAGGAGAGACAATATACTTAATATTGGACACATGGAGAGTTTCCAGAAGGAGGAAGCTGTTAAGAGTGTCAAATGCTGCAGACAGGACAAGTCAGATGCAGACAGAAAGTGCCCATTTGGACTGAGCAGTGAGAAGGTTTGAGTGTTCCTCCTAGAAGCTGAGAAGTAAGAAAGCAGAGACTGTCAGTACAAACTTCTCTGGAAATGAGCTTAGCTGCAAAGGGAAATAAACATGTCGATCCGTGGCTATAGGAGGCACCTGCCCTACACCTTTTATTTTACCATGGGATTCATGGGAGCTAATATTGTCTCCACGCTGGAGTGTAACCTCTTTGAGGCCAGAGACTGTGTCGTGGTTTCCTGGATGACCACTTGGTTCTCAAAGCCGTAACATCTTACGAGTTTCTAATCCTCTGCAGTGTCTATAATTATCTTGGTACTTGGGCAGGAGCATTCAATTACATGGTTGCTGAACTGAATACTGTGGATGGGTGACTCACAGCCCTGAACTGGATTATTCAAAATGTCAGTGCCTCAATTTCCTCCTCATCAACAGCAATTACTATTGGAGTTCTTTTAATAATAAATTGAACATGGAAACATTGTCCTTGCTGTCAAGAAGTGTTCACATTCATCTACTTAATGAGAAGGCCAGTCTTCCTTCCTTCCTAGAAATATGATGAGAAGTAGTGGATATATGAAGGCGAACGCACGCATAGTGCGCTAAGACATGGCTAAGCCATAAAATCTCTTTTCATACGTTATGCGCTCTGGGTAGGTACAACCACGAGTCAGCTAACCACACGAGATGCTTTTAGGTCTGGCAAGTGGGATGGAAAGCTCGCTGCATCAGTCTCCTCTGTGAGTGCCTGCACGCTTTCTGGTTTCAGGCTGGCAACGTCCTGTGGTGTGTCTGGCCTGGCCAAACCCAGGAAGTACTGAACTTATTAAAATTTAAAAACAAACCAAAGATGTTTGGAACCTCCCAAAACACTCACGTTGTGTCTGAGGGTGAGGGCTTGGATTCAGTTCTTATTCGACATGAGCACCATATATCAGGAAAACACAAACAGTGCAGGGCAATTTTATGAAAGGGCTACACCCTTGCATTCGGTCTTATGACAGTCTCAAAAAGCAGCTCCTGTCCAGGGCCTAGGGGAATTTGGTGAAGCATTCTGTCTTTTTTCGATTCCTTTTTGTTAGGCTGCCATAGGAATTTGTGCCTGGGAACACACTTTTAAGCAGTTGGACATGAATGTTCTGAAGCATTGCTGGAGGTACCTTGCCGTGGGCTCTACCAACCTGCCGAGACTGGCATGGTCCTGGCTCTGTATTTGGATGAATCTGGCCTATGGTGGGCCCTGGGGCAGCCCCCAATCTAATCTATTGCTTATGAAGAGCCAGACCACCCATGGATTATCCACAAGCATCTGTGAATGGGTAATCAGGAGTTGGCTAAATCAAGCTGATGACCAAGAATGAACCTGATGGTCAGAAATGAAGCTTCCGGAACAACACGCAAGGGTGTGTTTGCCTACAAATTATGTTTAGGTCATCAAAAAGAATTATAGCATTATCTAGAGCTGGAAGTAACCAGAAAAACTTTTAGCTCCATCCCTCCATTTTTTTGCATGAAGGAAGTGAGGCACGGAGATTTTTATGTGAGTCATCCAAAGTCAACAGCAGTTAGTGATGCAGCCAGAACTAAGAACCCTGAGCTGACCTCTTCTCTCTTTTTCAGTGCTAAAACACACACACACACTCCACACAAGTTATTTTTAAAATAATCTGTAGTTCCTTAGAGATTTACAGAAATCAGCTCTTTTATAAAAGGATATTTAGTGTATGGATGACCTCTTTAACTTAATTCTGACACAAAAACTTGTATATAGAGTTTGGAAGTTGTAAGAAGCAAAATAAATTATTTCACATAAGATAATAGAGGCATTCTAAGGAGGAAAAGGACCGAGACCCTTACCTTTTAAATTAAAAGGAATTCAATCATATTGGTTCACCTGAAGTAGCCCTGTTCAAGGTAAGCAGAAAAGGAGATGAAGACTAAGCCTGGGTGGCTTAGTTGGTTAAACACCCGACTCTTGATTTCAGCTCCAGTCACGATCTCAGGGTTGTGAGATCAAGCCCTGTGTCTGGCTCTGTGCTCAGCTGAGTCTATTAGAGATTCTCTCACTCTCTTCCTCTGCCCCTCCCTCCTGTGCTCTCTGTTTCTCTAATAAATATAAATAAATCTCTTAAAAAAAGGAGATGAAGTTATTGATATAGAGTTTACCTGAGACAAAATTTACCATGATGGTGTACCAGTAGATAAGCCTGGCACCCAAGGACTGGGAAGAAAACAGCTGTCCATACCAACATACCTGACCAAGACATTCTAGAATCAACTTGTGTTGGGGATGTGGCTGTCCTGATGTCTTCATGGAACCTAGGACAATTTTGATTCAGAATGTTCTTAGCTTAGCATACCACAGAGAAAATAAGCCACCTTCTAAACACTGTAAGGAAGTGATACATTCTGAGCAAAGACGTATTTCAGCAGCAGTGACCTGAGCACAGGACTGCTATCAAGCCACATTTCTGAGGGCAGCCAAGGTTAGAGCCAAGGTTAGAGTTGTATTCACAACTGCAGCAAGTGGGTGCCAGGGGCATTCTGAGTTTGTAGCTGCAGGCCAAAGGCTGCTAGGCTTTTAGGAGGTGGCAACAACAAACTCTGGCTTTTGGTGTGCCTGTAATGATGCCACAGTTCTTTAGACTATGGGGTTTAATAGTGTCCTCTGGCCTCTGGCTTTAGTGTCAGCAATTACAGTAGGGCAGGATATAATGATTACCTAGTCGGGGCAGGGAATATGGATTCCTTCAACCTTTGCATCTTCTTTGCATCTCATCTGATTAGGGGTCAGCAGTCAAAGTTGGCTCTTTGGACATGAGTAAGCTTCCATACTTTCATCAGTTTTCTAAACTTGTTGTTCCTACAATACTGCAATTGATTTTATGGCTCTGAGTCTTTGCACCCTCTGTTTCCTCAGATTTGAATGTCCTCCTTCCAACCCCTTTTATATCCTACTACACTGCTTCCTAGTCTGACAAGATTGAGATCTAGCAATATTGCATTTACCTGTCCATTCATTCACTCAACAAATGTATTTCAAGTATCTATTATTCCCCAAAAAGAATGCAGAGGTGAATTAGGTCCTCTGCCCTTGAGCATCTTTCATTATAGGAAAGAGATAAAGACATGCAAATCAATATATTCAGTAAAGTCTTAGAGAAACTGAGATGAGGTCAGGTTCAAATGTAAGCCAAAAAGAGGGAACAATTAATGTGTCTGGGGGATTGGGAAGAGAAAAGATGAAAAAAATGAGGTAT